AAATGTGTGTGTATGAGCATGCCTACCTACCAAGCGTAGAGAGTATACAGACACAGAAGGTATGTTTCTACCATGGTAATGAGTTTTCATGTGGTACAATCTGGCTTGCTGGTTGTATCTTGTTCATCCAGCAGTCTGTTTGATTGACAGTACTTATATCTCTTTGCCTGGATAAAATAATAATAATAATCAACATTTAAAATCTATTTCGACAATCAAATCACAGATAAGCTATCCGCGCTGCAGTCGAAAGAGCGAGCTAAGGCTGCCAGAAAAGAGAAGCGTTTGCAAAAGAAGCGTTTGCAGACATCCACGGGTGACAGTACTCAGATCCTTTCCCACTCTGAAGCCGAGCGAGAGGCGGAAGAGTACTTGGATGTGCACTCAGGGGTAAAAGGACACGTGCGTAGCGAGGGGGAGCTATCAGCCTACATAGATACACACACACACACCGATACAGCCACGCCTGAGGATATTCACGCGTACGAGAATGCGGTCGCACACAACGATGCAACCTCAAAGAGGCACGCACGCGACGGTACACCCAGGGACAAACTGACGGGCACACAGACGCACACTAAGGGTGTGCACTCGCGCACAGCCAGCTATAGCTCACACAGGGGGAGCACTGCAGAGGGACTGGGGGACAGTGCAACAACAGCCACACCTACACACACCCACACCCCGACACACGTAGATAGCGGAGAGGGTATAGCTGCGCCACACACACACACACACACGCACGCACGTGCAATCACAGGAGAGGTGGGAGATGCGGCTAGGAATACGGGTGGAGGTGCTGAGCACAGTTTGCTGGCCGGTGGGTCTTTGCCTGAAGTGCTGGTGAAGTTCGTGGACAAATACTGTGCCAGTTTAATGACCTCAGAGGACTTCACACCTACGCTGCTGTATAATAAGGTCTGTGGGTGGGTGCTTATCGATCTGCTGCTGTGTTGCGAAGTGCACGGGTGTTTGGGTTTGAACTATCCGGATATATATATATATATATATATATATATAGTGTGTGTGTGTGTATGTATATATACTATGTAGTGCATG